GTGACAAATTTCGGATGTGATAAATATTGATCGACAAAAAAAAACGGCAGAAAAAAACGGCAAACTACACGATTATTGCGTTTATTTTCCCTGCACATGGAAATGTTACACTAATTTTTTATATTGTGCAACGTAGCTTTACAATAAAAAGTAAGTGATAAACTAAATTTTTGAATCGGATCTAATATGCTGGTGAAGTTTCAGGAGAAATGTATAACGTTTCGTGTGACAACAAATTTCCACTATGCTATTATTGTATGAAACAATATTTATAGTAAATTTTTTTATATCGTGTAATACAGAATTATTAAACATTCATTTCGTTTTATTTATTTATCTGTCTAGTTTTCTATATTAATATATATATTCTTTATTTCTTCTAACATTGCGCCACAAAGTAATTTCAGGGTTCAAAGTGTTGATAAAAAATAATTGTCTTCATAACCAAAGCCATAAACCAACGTTTGTGAATCTAGTGATGGTATAAATTATTAATAATAATTAGTAGAAGAACCTTCAAAAAATAATAAATAAGCAAATTTATTCACTCAACAATCTATTACTATTAAGCATTTGACTGGGTAATTTTTCTTGATGAATTGTTGTTGGAAGCTTTTGTAAAGCTCTTTGAAAAAAAGAAAACCCAAAATACAACTTCAATAAAATTCGGGCTTCCGTTGCATCATATCCTAAGAGATCGAGATCAGATTTACTAACAGGACAAAACTAAAATGATAATAATATCCGAGCCTCAAAAATTGTAATCTTTCAAAATCAAATGTAAAATGTTAAATAAATAAAAGTAGAAGAAATTAGAATTTGTTTAATTAAAGTCAAGTTTAATGAATTAGAGCAAGAGAAAAGGGAACGCTTAATATTTAAATATTTGTCTTGATCGTGAGTTTGCTGATTCTAGGTTGATTAATTATATAAGAAAAACTAAATTAAAACAAAATAAAAAAATAATTTAAAAGAATGATTTATAAGACAAGCAATCAATCAATCAGTAATTAGAATATTCAAATGAGAACAAGGAAAATATTCCCCCAAAATGAAGAATCAGAAAAGCAGAAGCTTGAAATAACCAAGCAAGTCTAAATGCTTATCAGCCTAAATAAAACAAATCAAATTATAAGTAAAGACCAAAGAGCAAAATAGCATGAGATTATTCTATATTAAGATTAATCCCTGAAATTTATTTTTGTGACATAATAATGCTTTGGTGCGCCGCCACCCTTTCAATTCCAAAAAAAAACTTTAAATTGTTTAGATTTCTTTATTTGGTTAGGGCTTGTTAAGATTTTAATTCAACCGAGATTTATTTAACGCGTGCATTCATTTTTACAATAAATAGAATTCGTTTATTATAATTATCGTTCATTACACACAATATATTTGTATATAAAATATATAACATATAATATGTATATAAAGTATATAACATATAATATGTGTATATATATATAGACGTAATATTTTTATTTTTTTAATTTTTCAAATATTATTTATTTACTTAAATTTTTTAAAAGCAATTTCTTTACAATCTTTTTTTCTTTGAATTTTTATTTTATCCACCCACCAACCCATCTCTTCTTCAACCACATCCAACCACCCTCCCATCCTTTTTCAATCCTTCGATCAATTTTCGTTGTCAATATTTCCGCCACTAAAATCCACGCCACATTTTTTTCTTGAGGAAAAAAAAAATGAGTAGTATTAATGATTGGTGCTCTCAGGGTGATTATATATTTATTAATGTTTTTTTTAATTATTATATATTATATTATCATAATTATTAATTAAAGATATATTATAGTCAAGAATATTCAGAAATTAGAATGTATAAATAATAAAAATATAAAAGATCAAAAAACTATAAACACTGTAACAACAGCATCATCATCAATAACTACATCACCGTCAACTACATCATTGGATTCAACATCATCATCATTGCCTCCATACAAGGATGTTATGTCAATTATTGTTCCAATAAGTAAGTATTAACATTTATTAATCAGTGAATTTAAAATATTAGTAGTTGGTAATCATGCTATTACTATTATAATGAAACAATTATTCTAACTACTCATTATTACTTATTATAATTATTAAAGGTGTTATGGGTGTAATATTATTGTTTACAATAATAACTTGTGTAACAATTCGATTTATTAAAAATTATAAAAGCAATAGTAATAGTAGTGGCAGTAGCAATAATAACTTACTATTTTCATCAAGTCAAACTAAATTAACATCCAATATGCAACAAGACGAAGGCGAAGATTATGGAGGAGGAGAAGATAATATTAATAACGATAGTGTAATTGATATCAACAACAACAACTACTACAATGATAATAATGATGGTGACATGATAAATAAAATGATGTGCGAAATAAATGGAGAAAAATATTATAATGGAATTAAAGTACCTCCTTTAGGTGCAAGAATCATACCATTAGAAAGACAAATGGAGATCAGCAAAGAACTATCTGAAAAACACAATTATTATCAATATTATGATAATAGATCAGATTAATTAATCCAGTTTATAATATTTAATTTAATTTAATTTAATTTAATAATAATAATAATAATAATAATAATAATAATGTTAATTTAATGATTGAAAAAATAGAATGTATATTATATCATCAAAAATGTCATTATCATGTCATGTCATGTACATTAACATTATATATAAATATATAGAATAGAGTTTCCTTTTCATCAACTATAAAGATATAATCGATAAAAATATTAAAGAATATATTACAAGTGCAATTAAAGAAACATAGTTATAAACGGTTTTGATTTATCAAGATATTACGCCTTCTTGACAACGAAACGTACATTACGGCCAATCCAAATACAACCAATAATTCTCCTATTTTATTAAAATAAGTGCCGAAAATAAAAGTGCTGTCATATTGTTGTTCTCCAATGTGCCTCCTCAAAAGTCCTTTGTTGGGCTACATTTATATATAACTAAAAATATTAATTAAGGTTATCGTTGTTATTATTGTAACAAGCACGAATGTATATTGTAGATTCATTTACCTTTGTATTTATTTATTTATTTAACAGAGTTTAAGTACTAATTCAAATTCAAATTCAAATTCAAATTATTTTAAACTCGCTTCAATTTCAATCTTTAAATTAAATATATTGCCTTATTTCAACATAATCTGCTTCAGTTAACTCGCGTATATCACTAATACAGGTCTTTTTTTTTCAAGTTAATTAATAGTTTGTTGTGTTTTGTAAATAATGGTAATTCATTCCATTGGAAAAAATCATTCTGAATTTCGTCTTATGTAACACGAAACAACTATATAAATATGGGGTGCCAAAATAAGGTCATTAAGCGTTTTATTATACGTATACAGAGCGTTCCCCCCACATCATCGGTGAGAATAACTTTACCACTACCACCAGGACGAATGAGGTCATTTCGGGCACTCCCAAGATTCTTTGATATTAAACAATAATACATGTGCGTGCACTGATAAATTATACTAGATTATTTAATCTTTGAATTAATTATTGAACATCCTAAGCTTTAAAAACCGAGATATTGAATGATTATTATTATATCTTTATTAAAAAACAATATGATTTAGATTTAGATGAAATTCTTATTTCATGTCACTCAATGGGGAAGTGAAGATTAGAGAATAAACTAATTACAATTTGGAGAATATTTATTTAAAATTAATAAAATTATAAAAGATACGGTTTTTTTTTGTGAATTTGACAATTCAAATTTTAAAATTACAAAATATCGTCCATCATATTTTGAAGGTATTGATATAATATCAATTAATAGTTCACAAGACCTCTTTCAAATTCAAATTCTAATAATTCTCACTTAGTTTTAATAAACAACTTCATTAATATTGGATCTGACTTCCTATTACCTAGGTAACATCCGGATCAGTCAACAATTATCTATGATGCAGTTAAAATTGTTAATTTGAGACTGAGTGGACTTCATAGACTTTGTTTGGCATATCTGTTTTTTTTTGAAATGTTAAATTTAAATATAAATATATATATAATTATTTTCAAGAGGGATAGCCTCATATAAAGTTAATTTAGAAGTTATTTTGTGAATTATTATATTTACTTTATTCTAATAAAATTATATGAGCAAAATATTGCTTTTATTAAAAAAAAAATAGTTTACAACCTAAAGATAATTAATCGTTACTAATTCTTTGAATTTACGTTTAAGAATTCTCATTTTGTTTAATTAATTTATCCTGATAAAAAAAATTATAAATAAGTAAATAATACATATATACAAATACATAAGAACAAACAATTATTTACTTACTGATTTTAATTTATGTATTTTTTCAGCTAACGAATGGGACTCATAAAATGATGCAATTTTAATAGCTGATTCCAAGGATTTCGTTGAATTTAATAACTTTGCTAAATCTAATGCATGCTGTAGTCTTGATTCTTTACATGACGTCTTTAAATATGTAATAATTAATTTCATCGTCATTACCAATATTCAAAAAAAATTTTTTACTTAATCACCAAAATTTAAATAAACATATAATTACTCTTATAGTCGTTAACAACATTTTATCGAGTTCCAAATGTTTCTTAACAAGTTCTTTTTGTTTTTCTTCATCAATTGACTTTTTCTTTGCCCTGATTTCATCACACTCAAATTTTATTAATAGATTCATACGGGCATATCTATATAATCAATAAAAAATTGTTATTATATCAAAAAAAAAATTAGAAAAGATTAATACTTTAAAGTTCTCATATTTTAAACTTACACTTCTTCAGTTTTACCAATTGGCTTATCAAGATTTAAAAGAGGGATTTGCCAATCAAATTCATGAAACTTTTGCCTTGGATAACGTGGCATTCTTTCGCCATCCTTATTTAAATAAATGATTTTTTTATTATAATAAATATTATTATTAAAAAAAATCATTGTCATTTTGGTATCTGTTGCATATTTTTTTTTACCTTGCAAGCAATGCACAAGAATTTGGTTTCATTTAATCCAACAGGCCAATAATACGATGCTTCATCATCAGGGTTTGGATTATTACGAGTATACAAAACAGGTATCCATCTTGCTTGGTGATATTGTCTGTGACGATGTAAAATAGATAACACTCCTTCAGAATCATACATTGCTGGTAACTATAAAAAACGATGATTACTATTATTAAAACTGTAGAATCATAAATAATTGATGAATAAATTATTAATTACCCCTTTATCTGAAAATCCAATCCATTCTAAAGTTGAACCTTTAGATATTGGCAATTGTTCTTTTTGAACAATATCATTTGTTTCTACATTATACAACATATATCCAAGATTTTGCGATCCTTTAGTTAACAAATTTTTTTTATCAGTTGTTAATTAATTGATTGAATACCAAAATAAATTTTCTCGATAATCATAATTAGACCTGTTACTACCTCGATAACCTGTTCCTAGATGATATACAATCAATGCAAACTCTTGGTAAGCATCCATACAAACTACTGAATCCAATGCAAAGATATAAAGTTGTACACCAGAAAGCGTGAATAATCTTATGAAATTTTTAGAAGTTGCGACAATTATCGCTAGGCTACTTAGTGCAATTCCTATTTGTTTGATATAATTATTACAGAAATATTATTGATAGATTGATCAATTACATTAATGTTGATATGATTGATCGTACCTATAATAACTTCATCTTTAGGAAAAGTGGTCATCCATTCATTTTTAATTGCCCAAGTATTTTGAGATTTAAAAAATAAAACACTTGGGCTATCTTTGCTTGATCCTACTGCAAATAATGCACCTTGAAAATTAAGACATGCCATCGAATAATTAAAATCATCATGTAAATTATAACCGCGATTTTGTGTCTTGTTATGAAATTCTACATTGATCATTGAGTAGGAATCATTTTGTGTACTATTGATACTTCCTACATTATTTAAAACTATAAACAAATTTTTTTTATGAGAAAATAATTATAATATTAATTAATATTTACTTTGTTTAGAGCTAAAATAAGGCCTAATAATATCAATCTTTATATTTAATAATATATCCATTTACTAAATAAGTATAAACAAATTTACCTAAATAACGACGATTATTTTTACTAGGTGTTGAACATGGCTGAAAAGGCTCTTGAGGTTTTGTTATATCTTTATTTTAATAAAAAAAACAAAGTAAATAATAAAATCATTTCCATCATTAAGCATTCATCACATTATTAATAATAATGATGATATGATTACCACTTGGTTGTTGTTCCCAATACGGTTTATGTTCTACATAACCTGCACCATCATCATCTATCACAAATCCATCATCACCATTACCATCAAAATCCATATAATTATAATTCATTCTTTCAGTAGCGTCAGTAATAGTATTTTTAATGTCACTGTAATTGACTGATTTTCCTTTTCCTTCATCTTCTTTTTCATTATCACTATCCTCAAAAATATTAGAAATATCACCTAAATTTTTCTCAATTTTCATTATGAAAAAAACAAATCTATTTTATTTTTATTTAATTTTATTTATTGCAAGAAAAAATTAAATTGTGAAAATTGACGCGTTTTTTTGCAAAAAAAATGCGTGTTTAGGAATTTCACATCGTACAATCTGTATCCCCCAATTTGGAATTATGTGTAACATTTTAATCATCCTTTAGTATATGGCATACCAGACAAAGTGAACATCAGTATCACTAAAGATTTCAGGGATCAAAATTTAGTCATTTGTAATGTGATTATAATTATCAGTTTTATAATATCCATCTGTTATCTTAAATGATATATATAATATAGAATTACCTCTATATAAAAATGATAATATGAAATTAATTTACATTAGGTCTACCATGGAACCCAAGAATTATAGTACTATCAGAAGTATTTTAAAAAAGGAACAAGGCGAAAAAATTGCTCCTTATATTTTCAAAATAAATGATACTCAAACACTGGAAGCTTATCTAAGAAAAGAAAGGATTACTTATGAAATTTA